CAAGAGTCATGTGTATTCTTTCTTCTTGGTGAGCTTTGTGTATTTCTTCCAGATCTGTGCAGTAATCCAGCGTGAAACTTTACCTTTGTGCAGGAGCTTCCTGTGATAAAGACCAGTCATTGCTGCTCTTTATCCTTGTGCAGGGTGACCGGTCTTGTATCTGCCCCCTCCTGTAGTTTTTGGCAGGTAGCCTATATTGGTTGGGGACTGCCGGGTCCCTCCTCAACTCTGCTCCCTGCCCAGGCTATGTGCAGCACAGTGGTGATGTCACTGCAACTTTTTCAAGGTAATAACTTGGTTTCCAAAAGCATTTGACATTCACAAAGTGGATTTATATCCTTTTTGGCTATTAAGTAATGTATTTAAATGAAAATGTTTGTGCCTGAAGTTCAGCTTTAATGGAAGTTACAACCTGTCTTCTCTAAACTTTATCCAACCCTCAGTACATCGCTACAGAGCTGACAGTTTCCTCCTCTGCTACCTCTCCTCAATACCCATATAGCATCTTTTCTTCTTCTGCATGATTCCAATTCTTATGTCTCTTCCCCACAGGCTTTATTTGCAGATATTGAGGCTGGAGTCACACTGTCCGATGTGTGTTGCAGAATGTGGGGTAGTGCACATGTGTAAATGGCCTCATAGGAATTCCCTTTGAAAAGTGCTGAGATGTGAACCGACCAACCTTATAGGAAAGGAGAGGATTTCTTCCTGAAATGCATTTTCATGCAGCTAAATGCACTAGTTTTGCTGAATGGAAATGGACAATTGGAAATAGACCTAAAATACATCAGCTGAAAAAATCATTTTGTTTTTTTTTGTGCTTCAAAATAGGCTTAGTGATCTGCTATTCTTCTGATAAAAGAAAAAAGCAAAGGGGAATACACCGTCACCTGTCAAAGTCATATGATAGGCTATCCTCCAATCACAAAGCTGCATAAAGCAGAGAGACCTTCGGAGGACCCCACAGACTCCACACTGCCGTCTGCATTTCATGAATGGACTGTAAAATACAGGCCATGATGTGGACAAACATTGCAGTACACAGTGGAGTGCAGACAGGGATATGCACTCTCAATTATAAATGGAGCTCTATGTCTCCTTCTCTCGGAGTCTCTTCCCTGCTTCCAAACACACATATGAACTCTGAATGATGTTTTGTGCGATGATTACTTCCATAACCATGACTAATGCACTTAATATGAAATATCACACCTGCAAATGTGATGTTGTGTCAATCACTCCAGCTCTGCCCCTCCTTTCCCTTTCCAATAGCTAGTGTATGCATTGGGACACTATGCTTTATTTTGAATTTTAAGTGGTAGGCAGAGTGTGATGGTAGTTTAGAACTGAAGCCAAAAAGAAACAATACCATTTAATCTAGTTCTATCTTCACCAAAACGTTTGATTTTTACAATAAGTAGCACAAGTCATGGAATCTGATTGAATATTTAGCAACTGTAGTCCAAGGCAAAACTGTACCCTGGGAGGAGGATGTCCAGCACTGTGAGCATGTCTGCTGGTATGGGACCAGGCTCTATAATTCAGATACAATGTAGCATGTAGAGAGGTCTAAGCCGCCTGACAGGAGTGCCTGGATTACAACTCTGACTGAATAGGATTACAAATGTTTTGGCAGGTAAAACATTTCACATATATTCATCTAAGTGTTTAGCTGGTAGCCTGGGGTTTAGCTTTGATTTAAAGTAGATTTAAACCCCACATGGAAGACATTTCGTTTTCTAATGCACTGTGTATCCTCTTGCAATTTTTTCTGCATTAAATCCAATTTTAGCTTTTGTTTTATTTAATTTATTAATCAGTGTTGCTGATCTTCTTTAGCCAATTTGTGTTTACATGCACTTGCTCCAGAAACAGTTACACATCATTGCTCTGGACTGGATTATTTATAGTGACAGTTGACCCTGCCGCCGCAATGTGTTTTTGGCACTGTCACATGTAGTCACCACCAGGGGTGCATGTAACAGAGTGAAAATGCAGAAGTACATCTGAGAGTTAGTTGTCACTCCATGACAGGCAGTGCCTGAACATGGATCTTTAGAACAGGATCACCAGGCATTCTTTTAATATGAAATGTCGCTTTCAAAAGACTAAAAATATAGTCAAATCGCATTAACCTGGTAAACCCTGTATTAGATTTTAGTGATTTGGTTTAGATCTGCCTTAATATAATGACTACTGTTTATGGAAAAAACTTTTAGCATATGGACTCAATTGGATACACACTGGTCTTGATTTCCTGTTATGCAGTGTTATGCATAGTCATTGGTCCATATAAGATGTATCTGTCATACTTGATCAGTCGCTGGGATAGTAACCAGAGCTACTACAGTGCTGGCTTCCCCTCTGCTCTGAACACACAGGGGGCACTCACTCGCTCGGCACAGTGACCTATCAGAGAATGCCTATTTTGATAAATAAATACAAGGCATTCTCAGATTGAACAAGGGATGGTCATGTCACGATCCGCTCCTCATCCAATCAGAGAATGCCTTGTATTAATTGATAAAAAATACTAGCAGGGTTGTTCACAAAAGAGTAAAGAGTTTGCAGAAGGCAGGAGAAGTGAACCATCTAAGCCAAGATAGCTGATTTGGAAAAATTCTCCAATGCAGCCCACTTTCCAGTTCAGCTATGTTGTCCTAGATTGTTCACTTCTCCTGCCTTCTCCAAACCCCCTAGGTGTTCTCAGAATGGCCACTGTGCCAAGCAAGTTTCTCCCTGTGTGTTTTCAGAGAAGAGGGGAAGCCTCTCAGCACAAGACCATACAGGACTGGGGAGTTTACAGCTAGCACTATAGTAGCTCCGACTTCTTCTGTACCGTACACAATTCCCAATGACTGATCAGGTATCATCCCATACTTACAAGCTGCTCCCAGTAAATATGCAGAATACTTAGTACCTGGTGTTCAGGTTTAAATAAAGATAACTTTAGAGTATAAAACATTTGTCTTTTAACCATGTATAAAATTAATTTTATTAAGTCAAATTCCATTCTTCCATACTCACACAAAGAAGAACCTCTAGGTAATGTTGCTTTCAAGTAGTTGCTGTTATATATGTTATTAATGTCATTCTCTAAGATTAGATTGTGAACCAGACTTTAAAGGCACCTTGATAATGGTGTGTGACTAAAGCTGCTGACTCGGCAAAAATTGGACCAGTGTGTGGCCCAGTCAGCACCCTACCATTCGACAAAAGGAAATTTTTCCATCGATTTTTGCTGTGGGAGTCGGTTTGAAAATTCTTGGCTGAACAGTGACTACAGTGGCACACCCACCACTGTCAGAATGCAATAGCCTGGTGAAGGGAGAGGGAAGGAATCCCCCCATCCACGCTGCAAGCGAGGCTCACAGAAAAAAAACTTACAGTATATGGCCAACTTGATACCTAGGGATCTAATTATAAACAATATGCAGGGCTCTTCACAAATAATGTCAAAAACTAGGGATACATCGGTGCCGATACCGAGTATTTGGGCCAATCAGGAAGCCGGGGGGCGGGTAATGACTCGCCGTCCAGCTTCCTGATTGGTCGGGCAGCTGGCCAATCAGGAAGCCAGGTGGCGAGTCATAAACTGCCCTCCGGCTTCCTGATTGGCCAGAAAGCCGGCCCCATGCTTCCTCATCACCTTGTGACGAGGGAGCATGGAGATGGCTTTCCGGCTAATCAGGAAGCTGGGCGGCAAGTCATTACACGCCTGGCTTCCTTAATGGGACTTCCTGTATCGGTATTTGGTATCGGCGAGTACCGGTAAAAAATATCGGTACTCGCACTCCATACCAAAAAAACAGTATCGGTGCCTCCCTATCAAAAGCAAATGCTTCTAAAATAATTCTCAAATGTAGTTTTGTAATAATATATTATGGTCACAAGATGAAGCTGAGGAGCATAAGGCTGCCCATACACCTTGCGATCATCGGACTACACTTTTCGTCCGATGATCGAACTGTCGTACGATTTTCAGACGGCGCCCCCATCCTGCCCCTATTATCACAAGCTTGGATCAGCGGTAATTAGAAGGAAGCACCTGGATGAATTGCGGTAATCGACCGCATGTATTTTCGTCTGCACATGTGCAGTGTAGATCGTATGAATTTTGACGTACGGAAACCCCACCAACCTTGCGAAAATCGAACGATCGACCAAAATTATCTAACCTGCTGGTCAAAAGTCGATCGATTGTACAGTATTTGCGGTTGTACACTGCCCATCAACCTTACGAATATCGGACGAAAATGCGATCGCATACGAAAATCGGACGCTAGTCATAAGGTGTATGGGCACCTGAAGACATAAATTCTAACTGGGAAACTCTATCTAGTGGCCACAATGTATTACTACAACAACAAACTACATTTGAACTGAGAAACTACACCTAGTGGCCACAATGTACTGTATTACTACAACAGCAAACTACATTCGAACTGGGAAACTTCATCTAGTGGCCACAAACTACTTCAAACTGGGAAACTCCATCTACTGGTTGTCTACTGGCCAAAATGTAGTATTATAACAGCAAACTAATTTAAAACTGGGAAACTCCATCTAGTGGCCATAACAAAACTACACAACATTTGAACAGGGAAAAATATATTAGGAACATAATTTTTGCCATTATATGCCCGAAAACGAACGTTCACAGATTTAAATAGATTTAAATAGACCGCATATTGTATATCCGCACACGCAATCACCTGAGGCCTCTGTTTTATCAACATTTCAGAAGTAGGCTTTAAAGAAGTCTCCTTTTCAGGGTAATTTTTGCTTTTAATGCTTGCACCAAAATATCTCTCCCACGTTGTTCGCTTGTTGGTTGTAAACTGATGACCTGCTTGAGATCTTTTCTTTCTTTCTACCCAACACACGAGCAGAAAAGGAATTCGATCCAAATGATGGCAGATATCCAAAAGCAGACAGTGCTGCAGCTTCGTCAGCTGCTACACAAGTATCACACATCTATATTTCAAAAAGGCTGATGTGTAAGCACTACCGCTGGGAAGGGAGAAGTTGGGTCTTACTCCAGATTTCAGTCTTCTTCACAGCTATGTAACATGGACATGCTGTCCACTTTAATAAATTATAGCATCAATAAAATGTAATACTGAATCATGCTAACAAATGTTCCTCTGGGTAGGACTCGGTTAGCTAGTCCTCATGAAGCTTCTGTAGTATCCGCTTTAGCTGCTCCTGTGCAGAGTGACAGAAGTCACAAGTCTTAGAAGATGTGTCCCAGGTCATATTAGAGATAATCTGTGTTAAACATTCCTGTGCAGAGTTCAGATCTTGATCGAACCTCCTGTCTTCTGTCTGAAGAGCCATGTGTGTGCAGATGTTCCTGAACTCTACGCTGTCCTAGGCAGAGTATAAAAATGTAAATGTTACTTATGGAAAATGAAAGCAGAACTGTAGGAGGATATTAAAAAAAACGTAATCTTTAATGAATTATGTATATATGCAAACAATCCTTAAAGTGATCTTAAAGTCCAATGGTTTTTAAAGTAGTATTAAACTCTAAAACATTTTTCAATAATCCAAATCAAAGAAATATACATTGCCCAGCAAAGTATTTCTTTATATTTTTGCCTAAACACTTACAGTCACCATGTTTTCGAACAGCTCCAACTCAGCTCAGCTTCTCTAAACTTCCTGTCCAGTGCAAGTTCACAAGGGACAGAGCAGTCTCCAGCAGCTGTCCATATAGTTTGGAGAAGGGAGGAGGTGAGAGCGGGGAGCAGGGCAGTGTCTTGCCTTGTCATGCCTGTGCGTTTGTGGAGACACCCACCGCTTACTAGCACACACAAGGGTGCCTCCATAGCACCCTGCAAAGGGAAAAGAGCCACTCTTAAATAAGTCAGGACCAGTGCTCAGGGGACCAATTGATTATGCAGGAACCTAACAGGGTTATTCAGAAAAGGGTGAAGAGTTTGGAGAAGGCAGGAGAAGTGAACAATCTAGGACAACATAGCTGATCTAGAAAGTGTGCTGAATTGGAGAATGTTTCCAAATCAGCTATGTTGTCCTAGATTGTTCACTTCTCCACTTTCTCCAAACTCTTCACCCTTTTGTGAATAACCTTGTTAAACTTGTAAGCATGAAGGAGCAACATTCATTGTAAGTGATTTAATCAGATTTGAAAAAACTTAACATTTTGACTTTAATATCACTTTAAGCTATTTCAACTGCTTGTGAAATCTCTTACAATGGATATTGTTCCTTAATGTTTAAAAGTTTTGGTTTCCTACAGAATCTGTGTATCCCCTGAACATTAGTCCTGACCCAAAATATGGATGTAATATGAAGCATGGTCAGAAAGATATACACTGAGTCGCCAGTTTATTATGACCACCTGACGTTTGTAGGCAAATTAGCTATAATTTTGCGCTGAAGTTGCTGGAGGGCCAGACCATTATAAATAGGGAAGCAGGTTGTTTACCACGACAGTAGAAGTGATTTGTTTCTGAAGATATGGGTAAACAACGCGATTTAACAGCCTATGAACGTGGGATGATTGTTGGCGCTCTGAGCCATGGAGCGAGTATAAGCAAAACAGCAGAATTCGTTAAATGTTCAAGAGCAGCTGTTGTTAAAGTGTTTAAAGACTGGACTCTCAGCCGAAAATCTGGGTCTGAACGTGCGAATTGTGGCCGTCAGCGACTAGTCAATGTTAGGGCAGAACGGAGAGTGGCAAGACTTGTACAAGACAACAGAAGTGCAACAGTGCATTTTCAGATTCCTCGCATCACCTTTCAACATCTCGTGGAGTCACTAGGCGGCCCAACGAAGTCATCTCGTGGAGTTATCTCGTGACCCAACGAAGTACTGATGGGGTGGTCATAATAATCTGGCCACTCCGTGTATTTGCCTTTAAAGCACACATTTTAATGCAGGTTACTGCAACCCACATTGATGCAATGTCTTTGTGTTCTGAGGTGCATTGACTATGGCACTTCAACATATATATATACAATATCTACAACAAATGCACCTGCACTACAGGTGAAGATCGCTGCACATATAGGTACAGTATTTGTAAAAATCATAGTTACATAGTTAGTCAGGTTGAAAAAAGAGATTTAAAAAAAAAAAGCCTAAACAGAACGCTATGCCCACAATTACCACCTGTTGATCCAGAGGAAGGCAAAAAAAAACCCATAAAGCATGATTCAATTTGATCAAACAAGGGAAAAAAATTCCTCATCAACAATCTCTGATGCTTAATATATACAAGAACTCAATATCCAGTAATATTCTGTGCATTTAGGAATACATCCAGGTGTTTTTTTAAACAATTAACTGAGCTCGCTAGAACAAGTTCCTGGGGGAGTCTATTCCACATTTTTACAGCTCTATCTGTGAAAAATCCTTTCCGTATGCAAAGGATAAACCTCTTTTCCTTCAGACACAAATGGTGCCCCCTTGTCCTTTGAGGCGGACGGCAAGAGGTTAAAGTGAATAATTTGGCACCAAGCTCACTATATGGAGCATGTATGTATTTGTACATGGTGAGCATGTCCCCCCTTAATCGCCTCTTCTCCAGAGAGAACAAATTCAGGTCAGCTAATCTTTCCTCATAGCTGAGCTCCTCCATGCCTCTTATGAGTTTAGTTCACCTTCGCTGCACTTTCTCCAGTTCCACAACATCCTTTTTGTGACCTGGTGCCCAAAACTGAACTGCATATTCCAGATGAGGTCTTACTAATGCTTCATCATGCCAAATGCTTTCTCGCTCATCATTCTCAGGGTGATGTCTGCTCTTCTGTGGCCAGAGTAATTCATATGTTACAGTCAACCCAAGCACAATGAATGTGCTTAGCACTGTACATCCTCTGTTAACCCCCTGTGTGTTGAATTAGTGACAAGGCTAGCAAACATCCGGCACTTGCACTGAAGGAGCACTGCAAAATCTGCACAAAACCTTCACAATTCTAAATGTCACCAGTGATAAGCACAAACGGATTTCCTGCATTATGGCATGTTGCTGTAAGAAAAGAAAAAAATCTCCACTGAACCAAGAGACTGTTAGTTGTAGGCTATAGGAACAAGACCACAGTGCACACATATGCAGGATCTCTATACTAAGCAGAACGGAGAAGCTGGCCATACATTAGTAGATGAATATTGTTCAGAATGCAGGCTGAACAAAAAAATCTAACAGATTCCTCAATCTATGCTAACAGTGTAGATGGACAAATCTCCATCTGCAGCTCTTCTATTCTGACAGGCAGGGCCCACTGCTGTCAGAGTACACAAAAAGTAATTCACCATTCAGCTGAAAAATGTTTGGCCTGCTTCCTTCGACAAAACTGGATTGAGTGATCAACTTTTGTTGAGCCAGAAGGGCCACATACTGTGTAATGCTGGCCATACACCAGTATTGTTTTCGGGATCTTCATTTTATTCTCTAATAGTTAATGGGGTCAAATCGGCATCTGATACATTTTTGTTAATATTTAAGGTACTTGAATTTGTTTTTAAGATGTAACTCCTGAGTTTAGTGTCACTTTAAAAATGCATTCAAGTAGCAAAAATTATCAAAACTGCATTTTATTTTTGTATCACTCCCCATGCAGATCCTCAAATCATCCCTGAATTCATGGTTACACTGTCCTTCCTTCTGGAGGGTGGCTACTTTTCTTCCATATGGTCCCTGTGTGTTATAAAGCGCTCCAAGCTCACTTCCTTGATGGACTACGATCTCAGGTTTAGTCTACTAATTTGTATTGGGATTGTAGTCCATCACAGGAGTGAGTTTGGAGCCCTGACTACTTTACAACACACACAGGAACCATGGGGAACAAAAGTAGCCACCCTCCAGAAGGAAGGACAGTGTCAGCACCAATTCAGGGATGATTTGAGGATCTACAGCCCAGTGATACACCAATAAGATACATTTTTGTTAATAGTTAAGGTACTTGAATGCATTTTTTAAAAGATTTAAAGTAGTGTTAAGGTCTGGGCGTTACTGATGGCAGAGGAGCCATAGGCTCCCTCTGCCATCAATCAAAGATGGAAGGGGCGTGACCTGCCACAGTGCTGTGTGTGTCTATGGACGCACACAGCCGCTGCGGGCACGAGCGTGCACAGGTGCCACCATTAGAACGATGGTGGCACCCGTGCAGGGGGTGTGGGGAAGAGCATGGTGGGGACTCACTAGAAAACAAGGAATGAAGTACTTTTACAGAAAAAATGCAACATCCTCCAGCAAAGGGGGGTCTCCTTAAAGGAGAAATAAAAAAAAAATGGGCTTTAATATCACTTTAACTTCTGAGTTTAGTGTCACTTTAACTCCAGATAAAAAGGTTATTCTAAATGTTTTGTATATAGTATCCCTGGTAAAAGAGATCAAAGTAAAATAATATTTACAAACACTGCTACATTGTAACATTGCAATTGTTAACATAGTAAATCATTTTTTGAAAACAGACCCATACATAAAACTACAACTCAGAGTCCTAGTGATTTCTGCCCACCACTCTAACCCAACAATCCTGCAGAACCTTCACCAGAACTACAGATGTGAGCATTCCCCCCACAGTAGTGAGACCCATCCAGAGATCATACAGTTCTCACACCGTGCGATACTCACTTTTATCTGCATTGTGAATTGATGGTCCAGCGGTAAGTGTTGCAGCATATTCTCCTCCACCAGCAGCAGCTCCAGTATAGATCGTGCCACCCTGGAGAGCCGGTGTCTGGATGCCCTCTGTGCCAGGGTGAGGCACCTCGGGGAAGATCCTGAATCCGTGTCATCAGATGGCAGCTCCGTGCCAGCTTGCTGTACCTGGGGGTGACATAATCCGCTGATCGTGGCCCCCTCTGCGATAAAGAGGTTCGGGATGCCGCAGTGCATACCCCTTTGCTCCAGGAGGGGGAGGAGGGTGTTCAGAGCCTTGGCTTGGTGGCTGACAACGTCCCTTAAAACTGCTGGCAGGGGCATGTCTGCTGTTACAAGACCAGAAGGGATGAGATGAGTTCCTCTTTATCAGAGTATAGAGATATCTCAGCGTGAGCTCCAAGGCTGGACAATGAAATCTGAGCCCCGGGGCCACCTCTGATCCTTCACAACAAATGAACATCAGCCAGATGGTCTGCATAGTCCATTCACTATCATACTATCATTATCGCACGGTATATCTCAAGACACGGTTATCTTATCGTTCTGCAAAACAAAAAACAATGGACAGGTAGGTCAGCATTGCAATGGAGAAGTGTATAAAAAGCTAATCAATTTTAATATGTTTAGTAGTTAAAGAGGACCCCCCCACCCCATTTATTTGTCATTAACCGATTCTTGGGCCCTGGGTTGAACTCAGACTCAACCCACCCAGCCAATCCAGCACTGTTCTGTTGTGATGCTCTTACCCATCTTGAAAAAGATCTGGTCCATGTGCAGACATGCCACTTGTCTCTACCAGGTCCCATAGACCTGGCAGAGACCTGCAATTGTCTGTGCATCTGGCGGATCGATGTCTACACGTGGCAGGTCCCATAAACTTGCTAGAGACCTGCGGTGTGTCTGCGCATGTGGTGGACTCATATCTGCACATGTGGCAGGTCCCATAGACCTGCAAGAGACCCATGGTGTATCTGTGCATGTAGCTGTTCCCATAGGCCTGCCAGAAATCTGTGGTGTGTCTGCATGTGTGGTGGATATATGTCTCCACATGTGGCGGATCCATTTCTGTGCATGTGGAAGGTCCCATAGACCTGGCAGAGACCCGTAGTGTGTCTGCACATGTGCCGCATCCATGTCTATGCATGTGGCAAGTCTCATAGACCTGCTAGAGGCCCGCATTGTGTCTGCGCATGTGGCGGATCTGTGTCTGCACATGGGGCGAACCCATGTCTGCGCATATGGCAGGTACCATAGACCAGTCAGAAACCCATTGCAGTCTGCACATCTGGGGATTCCATGCTTGCACAAACATGTTTCAGGTCTCGGTCAGGGACCTGTGGCGTTTCTATGCATGCGTTAGATATGGCAAGTTACCCCCTGGGTGATGTAGACATCCCAGGAGGCAGCTGGAGGGGGGAGGGGGGTTGGGAGACAGGAAACTCATCCTCGGCTGGCGGAAGAAACTACTGCATGGCATGGGGGTAGCAGGGATCACACACCATGAAGTGTTAAATACATGCTCAAAACTCAGTGGCTGAGCACTGAGCTACAAATCTCAGCAAAATTACGTAGCGATTCTATAGAAATTAATGATTTTCTTAGTGAGAAATTGAGGATCGCTTCAAATAAATCTTTCATCTGACAAAGCCCAAAGGCTGGTAAGGCTGATCTCACCTCCTCAGCTACAGAGGGAACGATTCCATAGGCAGCCTCTTTAGCCGTCTTGTGACTGGCCATTTGTCTCTATTCCCAGAATCGCCATCTGACATCAGCCGAAGGCTTCGAAAATCTATACAAAACTAGAAAAGCGTTTTCACTTTGACAATGAGTTCAATCTTTGGTTTTACCACAGCCAATTAACAGGCCCTACCCTCTGAATTTCACACTTCACATTTCGAAATATCAAAATTAGGAACTGTCATTACAGCTTCACAGTCACCTGTCAGATCTAAACCTAAAATATTAGAACCTGAACCTTGGAATACAGGGCCATAACTATGAATTACTGCACAAAGGGGATCTATGACCAGGATGAGGACCCTGAGGTCTGAAGTCAGTCCTTCTACGTATCTGCCAACTTGCTGAGATGAGAAAGAGGGACACCTTCCAGCACAATGTATTTAGACAATGGGCATATTACCACGCCCCCCAGTTATGCAGAGCCCCCAGTTATGCGGAGCCCCCAGTTATGCGGAGCCCCCAGTTATGTGGAGCCCCCAGTTATGCGGAGCATTAGGAATTTGTATGCCAAAAATGATGGTTTAAACCCAGAGTTGTTTTTTTTGTCCATTATTACATTGCCTGTATACTGTCTTTTCAAAATAGCAAACAAGATAATTAAGAGAAAAGATGAAGGTTTTAGTAGAGAATAACTCTTTTGGTGTGTAAATAGAACCCTTTCATAGATATCTGTACATCAGACCAAAAAGAGGGACAACTGAGGAGGAAAGAGGGACGGCATTTGGTTCCAAAAGAGGTACAGTCCATCCAAATGAGATGGACTATCAATTCAGATTTGAATCTATGAGACCAGCAATATTTGGTAACAGCTATGTAACAAAGAGGGCCAGTGCTCTCAAATTATATCTGCTCAGTTAGACCAGGGATAGGCAACCTTGGTACTCCTGCTCTGGTTAACACACAAATCCCATCATGCCTCTGCTTTGAGAGTACCCATAGAATACCCAAGAATAAACTATAAATAAATCCACAGAGGTGTGTGTAATATAAAAGTAAAGATCAATATATCTGCCACATAATACATTGTTGAATTATAAACATTGAGGAATTTTCCTGTGTTAGATATCAATGTAGCCATATCAATACAGATGATTTTATCCTGCAAGTCTCTGTCTGTTCTAAAGTCCTCATACATCCACATAATGAAACATCCACGATCTGACAGAACCTAAAAGTTGTTTGGTTATGTCTATCAATTTACATATATATATATATA